CTCCCTAAAACAAATCCAAAAATACAAGGAGGATCTTGAAAAGACCTGCCTTGCATATGAAAATCTTCAAACAGAACATCTAAATTTGAATACTATTCAGGAGGTTCACTCCTCTGATATCTTGGAATAATGGGCCAGACACGCTTCAAGAAGAGGAAATTCCTCAAATTGATGATGATACTTTCTAATTTCATGTGTTTTATCTTAAGTTGGAATTGTCGAAGCTTCGAGGCGAACTTGAGTTTCTTGTCTTCTTTTGTTTCTTGGTTAAAACCCTCAGTTGTGTGTCTCCAGGAGACCTGGAGTCGGAACCCTAGGGTTCCTTTCCTCTCTGGATATAACAGTTTTTTAAAAGAAAGAATTTTCCCTAGTAAAGGCGGTGGCCTTGCCATTTTTGTGTTAAAAAATCTACCTGTTTCCAAACTTCCAGATACTGGAATTAAATCTGACATGGAAGTTCTAAGTATCAAAGTGCAAGCTTACGGTAAATCATTTACTATAGTAAATTGCTATAGGCCTTCCTGGAAGATTTAAACCAGAAGACTCAATGGTCTTGGATTCCTTTAAGGATCCTTTTCACGATTTTGGTTGGCGATTTTAACGCTCGCCATAGAAATTTTGGAGATAGAATTACATCGCCCAGCGGTCAAAAGTTCATGAATTGGCTAATTGACTCTAATATGATCATTCTAAATAATAAGAAACCTACTCATATTTATCGTGGCCAAGAAGGAGGAATCCTCGACCTTTGTATGGCAAATGTCAATATCGCGTCCAAGCTGTCGTTCCAGAGACTTGATGATACGGGTCAAAGTGATCATTTCCCTGTGTATCTTAAGTTTAATCAAAGTTTTAAGAAGAGACCGGGGAAAAACTAAAAGCTATACAAATTGGCGAGATGTCAGTATATCTCTGTCACGTTTGCCTGTGAGCCACGCTGGTAATATGGAGGATAAAGTTAACGCTTATACCACTGTAATTAACAGTACCATCAAGACACACTCCAGAGAAATCACCTACAAGGTCGAGCCAAAAAACCCATGGTTCAGTTTGGAGTGCGCCAAATTCAAACATCTTAGAGATAAGTTGAAAAAGAAGGGCACTAAGATCACTTAATCCTAAGCGACTGGGTGGAGTATAAGGGTGCAAACGCCTAAATACAAAAGAGAGCTAATAAAAGCAAAACGGAGGAAAAGTAAACTGGGCAAAGATTTTTCCTTCAAAATTTATTGGCTTTAGAAAATTTGGCATTTGCGTAACTGACTGTCTTAGAGATATTTATGATTCTGTCTGGTCAGCCAGAAGAAACAAAAATCTGGAAAATTACTTAATTTGCTTAGATATCAAAGGAGCTTACGATAATGTGCAACATGAGATTTTGATTTTGATTGAAAGGCTTGAAAAGATGGGCATGAACACTACCCTGGTGCGTTGGATCTACAATTTTATTACTAATCGTACTATTTCTGTAAAGTGGAGATCTATCCTTATCCAACAGATAAGCTCATGTCTAAGGGCCTTCCACAAGGAGCCATTTTATCGCCTTTCCTCTACAATTGCTTTATGTTGGATCTTTGTAAACTGAATGATAGGAGCACCAAGTTTTTTATTTACGCTGATGATATCTACGTACATGTTACTGTTAGGAAGGACAACCGGTATTCCAGCTTACAAGACACTCTCAAAAAGATCATTAGCTGGTCTGCTGAAAATAAGGTTGCTTTCTCCTTTGAGAAATCAACACTAATTGACTTTTCAAGAGGAAGAAAGAAATACTCTTCCCCCATCAGAATAGGTAATCTCAGTATTGGATGGAAAAAAGAGCATAAAATACTTGGCGTTATTTTCGAACACAATCTCAGTTGGCGTGCACACGAAGCTTATCTAGTTAAAAGATTAAATAACACTTTAAACTTGATCAAAATCCTCTCCCACCCAACTCAAGGAATGAGAACAAAAAACTTACTAAAAAATCATCCAGCAAATCATGATTCCCCAACTCATATACGGATGTGAAATCAGATGGGGAGAATATATCTCCTCCCAAAATAAGTACGATATCTACATCAATAAAGCGATTAGAAAAGCCTTAGGGGTAAGTCATTTTGCTCCCAACGATGTTATTAGGAGAATTGCAGCAATTCCGCATTACAATAAGATAAAAAAATGGAAAAGAATATTATCTGTCATAAATAATAAAAATTTCAGGGAGCCGATTATTTTTTCCCCGCCACTAGAGGCGGAAGGTTTAAGAAAGAAAGTAAGGATTTAAGAGCTGATCTTGACAGCTATGAATCTAAATGGATTTTAGATAAGAACGTTGTCCGGCAAAAGAAACGGATTCCGCCTTGGATAGACTTTAGGAAATTGTGTAACATCGATTTAAAGAATCTCCACGATTTTGTCACTGATTACGCTCCTTTTATTAAAAATTTGACTGCAGGTGTTAAAGCAGAAAACGTATGGGGCTCAGACGGTTCCAAAAATTTGGACGGAACTGGTTTTGGAATAACCAATCTAAAAAATACCGTTAACAGAGCCATCAAGATTGAAAGAAATGCTTCTATATACACCGCGGAAGTTTCAGCAATTTGGTACATTTTGAAATATCTAGCTAACCTTTCCGAAGCGACGATAATTTTCACTGACAGTCTTGCGGCAGTGGAAGCTATTGCCTCCTTCGAAGATTCAAATAACAACATAATTGAGAATATTCGATATGAAATTTACAAAAAACATGCCAAATAGTAAGATAATAATTTGTTGGATACCCGGTCACAAAGGCATTGAGATCAACGAAAGGGCAGATTTTTTGGCTAAACAGGCGGTAAATTCACGCAATACTCCAATCCTCCCAATTTATACATGGCAGGATATCAAAAAAGAAATTAGGGAAGACAGGGAGAGGGAAATTGAGACCACCTGGCAGAACACGAAGTATTATTGTTCTTTTAAAAATGTTTTAAATACCAAACACTTGAATATTAATTGGCCTGACTCAAGGAAAATGGAAAGTAAAATCAACAAAATCCTCACTCGAAGTATCCTCACGAACTACCTTAAATTCAAGTTAAAACTTTCAAGTACTCCTTTATGCATAAATTGCAAAGTACGTGATGATTTTGAGCACAGACTGAATGAATGTAAAAAAATACATTCATCTAAGGAACTATATCGCCAAATACTGCGATAAAGAAAAGAAAAACAATCAATACATCCTTCTTCTGCAGAATTAGTTAACAATTTCAATCTAAGAATTCCGAAGTTGGGTCGTTTACTCGCCAACTTCTTCTAACTTTCCTGGGCCTCACGGACTGGTTTTACGGCGATCGCCAGAATACGAAAGTAAAATTGTTTAAAAAAAAAAAAAAAAAGTATTAAAATTCCAATCACCTGATGTTAAATTGGCCCGACTCAAGAAAAATGAAAAGTAAAATTTAACAAATTCCTCACTCGAAGTCTCCTCACGTACTACCTTAAATTTAAGTTAATACTTTCAAGAAATCCTTTTGCGCAAATGGCTATGTACGAAAAAATTTTGAGCACAGACTGAATGAGTAGTTAAAAATTCCATTCTAAGAACTCCGAAGTAGCGTTGTTTACTCGCCAACTTCTAACTTACTGCGCCTCACGGACTGGAGGAAACGGTGTTCTCCAAAGTCCTCACCTCCTTTCTTCTTGCTCAAAAGCAAGATTGCTACAGAATGTGTCGAAGTTGGGATGTATGTCCAGTATAAAGATCGAATTTATATTATATCTTATTTTTGCACAAATCGAGTTTATAGCATTTTCCAAGAAAAATTCAAATGAGTACCTACAGCACACAACATGTGCATTAATTCACTTACTAAAATGTTACTGAAAATTAAAATCATATCCACTGAAAAAAGATAGGAAGGGAATATATGCATATCTTCAGTAACTGATTGTCAACCACTACCTAACAACCTTGGAAGAATGGGAACTTCATATAATGTAGAATAAGTATCATTGCATCAATTCAGAATAAAGAATTGTGCTAATATAAGAAATCAAATTTTTGCAAAATGTGACAAATTAGCATTTAATGAAGTGTTCCTGGAAATCATGGCATACTTAAATCACTCAACAGATAAGTTTAGTGTACATTAATATTTTTACAAAGATAATTGTAGGATTGTGTGCATAGGATAGAGAAAGCATGTGTGAAGCATCTAATTAATTTGGGTAAAATTTTGAATAACTTCATTTGCACATAAACAGAATTTGAACAACATCATGACTTTTGTAACTAGTTCTATGATATTAAAGCTGTCAGAAATAACCTTGTATGTATCTATGCAGAGAAACTTTAAATATGTGAATTTTGTTAAACATCATTAGGAAACAAGTGTATTAAAATGACATCTATAGTTATGTATTTGGAAGAAAGATTATATGCATGTGTAGTATGTAAAAATTTTGGACTCAACAATAAACTGAAACCATAGTTTGTATCTCCACACAGAGAAAATAGTAAGGTATACAAAACAGGACGTGCATCTTCACACAGGACATTAACTTCACGTGTGTGTGAAAAGTAACAAGTTGTTCATATAAAGAGGTTCAATACATATTTACACAGGTTAGTAATCTTATGTGTGGTAGGTGATTTAATTGAATGGGGAGTATAAAAAAGAATATGTTTCTTCACACAGAAGAGCAATCTCATCCATAAGAATACCATCCTTAGAAAACATTTAGATATAACTGTCTTTTAAACAGACATATGCTTACTCATAAAAGTTACAGACCTCGCATGTGTCAGGTTTGTAATAAGGCATTTGGTCAAAAGGGTAATTTAAATGTGCATATGCTTATTCACACAGGAGAGAAATATCACATGTGTGAAATATGTAATTATATCATTTATTCAAAAGTATAAATTAAAGGTGCACATGCTTTTACTCACTGTACAGAAACGTCACATATGTGAGGTGTGTAAAAAGTCATTTAGAGGAAAGAGTAGTTTTTTTGACCACATGCGTGTTCATACTGGAGAAAAACCTCATCTGTGCGAGATATGTAACAAAACGTTTAGATATAAGAGTGCTTTAAGCACACATATGCTGACTCACACGGGTTATAAACCTTACATATGTGAGGTTTGTAATGCATCATTTGGGAAAAAGAGCAATTTAAACAGACATATGTTTATTCACACAGAAGAGAAACCTCATGTATGTGAGGTATGCAACAAAGCATTAAGTCAAAAGTGTAAATTAAATGAGCATATGCTTTTACACACAGGAGTGAAACCTCATGTTTGTGAGGTCTGTAAAATGTCATTTAGACAAAACACTGATTTAAACAGCCACATGTTTATTCACACAGGAGAGAGACCTCATATGTGTCAGGTCTGTAAAAAGTCATTTAGACGAAATACTGATTTAAACAAGCACATGGTTATTCACACTCAAGAAAAATCTCATGTGTGTGAGGTCTGTAAAAAGGCATTTAGACGAAGCACAGATTTAATCAACCACTTGTTTATTCACACAGGAGAAAAACCTCATATGTGTAAGGTCTGTAATAAGTCATTTAGACGAAACAGTGATTTAAACAGCCACATGTTTATTCACACAGGAGAGAAACGTTATATGTGCAAGGTATGTAGCAAATCATTTAGTCAAAAGACTAATTTAAATGTGCACATGCTTTTACACACAGGAGAAAAACCTCATGTGTGTGAGATATGCAGCAGATCATTCAGAAAAAAGATTGATCTAAGCGGGCATCTGCTTGTTCACACAGGAGAGAAACCTTATGTATGTGAAGTATGCAATAAATCATTTAGTAGAAAATCTAATTTAAAGAGACATGTACTTACACACAGAAGAAAGGCCTTATGTGTGTGAAGTATGCAATAAATCATTTAGTAGAACATCTAATTTAAAGAGACATGTACTTACACACACAGAAGAAAAACCTTATGTCTATGAAGTATGAAGTGAATCATTTAGTTAAAAACATACAATGGCTGCACTTATTTTTAAAATTCATTTGCATACTTCACATTTTTTTTAATCCATTTTAAACCTTGCTTGTTATAAAATTAATGTCTCCCAAATATTCCTTGTTAAAAAATAATGTGGATAAAAAGTTCTAATCAGTACAGTCAAAAGTCGTTAATCCGGACTCGTCGGGACTTCGGCGATTCCGGATTATCGATTTTTCCGGATTATAGATCATCAGTTTAAATCTGGTAGAATGGCATGCAGAAATTATAAAATTAAAAAATTGAAACCGTAATTTACGAAATAAAGAACAATTATGATCTAAAGTGTATCAAAATTTACAAAAAAAAAAAAAAAAAAAAAAAAAAAAACCTTAATATTATTTTGTTTACTTTATTAAACATTTCTTTCAATGTAAGTTGTTTAGTTGCTGCTGCTTCGTTTTTTTTGTGATAATACATTCTCTTTAATTCTATAAACAGACATAATTTTCTTGTTCAGTTCCGCTGTTCAAGTCCTATAATTGCTGTGTCGAGAATACTGACTAATTTGTCAATCGAAATTTTTTCGTTTTCAATAACCTCTGTCAGTTTCTTCGCTATCGGAAGCGAATTATAATGACGAGGCATTTGATTTAAATCATATCAAAGACGGAGTACATCGAAATGAAATACTACATTTAGTAAGCAATTATAAGCCAAATAAAATAAAAACATCTGCCCTGAAGATAAGGATAGTGTTGACAGATCAACTTCCAATTCACTGCGCGCCGCGGCGGCGTTAAAGATAAACAAAGTTTAGATAAACAAACGTTAAAGTTTAGATAAACAAAGGATATGCCTTTATACATTTTTTGCAGCAATTCCATTTTTTGTTTAATGGACTCCGAAACATTACTTTCGCTTTGTAGATCCGTTACATGTTAGTAAATATAAATCGGAAATTCTATTTGACATAATCGAAAGTTCAAGCTTACTTTTATAAAATTGCTCTAACAGTCTGCAAAAAATAATAAGCCGGATCCAATTCGAAGATTAAGGAACAACGCAATCTGCAACATTAACTGAAATAGATAATTAGATAATTTTAGCTTAGCTTAGCTTATACCATCCGTTATACATTAAACGCGCATTCGTAAACGTATTTTGCGCACGCGCACACGCAAATTCGCAGCCGTAAATTTCTTACGCGCATGCGTCAACGCGACGCATGTGCAGAAAGTTTGTAGGTTTGAGGTACGGATTATAGATCATTCCGGATTATGGGCGTCGGAATTAACGACTTTGGACTGTACACCATTTCTTGTTAGTCCAAAGGGGCTTTGCCCCTGAAGAACTATTGTTTTCATTTTGTGTTGGTTCACTATAAATGTCAGTTTCACTTTTTCAAACTGTTGCCACCAAATGTTATAGTCCTGCATTATATTTGAAGAAATTAAATAATGAAAAATCTGCATAAATGTATGTATATTTCTCGCATTGTGATAAAACAATGGTACATAGAGCCATTGAATTTTAAATGATGTAATCCTACTACGAATATGGGCATGTGGATGTCCAAATCTAAAATTTGGAATTTGTTTTATTATTGATTGTATATTTTATAAAACTTTCACAAATTTTTTATTAACAAACTCAAGGATTTCAAAGCGAGCAATGACAATGTTGTACAGAAAAACCATTTTTATCTCCAGCGTGCGAGACTGTGTATCGGAAATTCTAAAGATATGGTCAATTTAAAACTATTTTGCGATATTGCTGTTGAACTGAATTTTATGGTTTAAGTGCGAAGAACGTGATATTTAATAAATAAAGGTAACAAACAAAATGTTAAAAAAAAAAAAAAAAGTGCCTCTTTGAACGTAATTTAAAATCTGAAACCATTCAGATTTTTATTTTATTTATTATTACCGTATTTGACGGCATATAAGAAGCACTTTTTTTCCCTAAATTTGCTCTCAAAAAAGTTACCTGCATCTTATACGTGAAGGACACAGGTTAACTTTCAATACTGAATGATATTTTTAGCCCAGATAAAGGTCTACACACACATAACTTTTTCTACATCTGCCATAATTATTTTGCGCATGCGTGAAATATCTGTCGCCAAAAAGCGCCAAACCTCGAAGCTGATGTCAAAGTTCGAACAGGTTCAACGGTCACATTACGTCTATGGAGCCTTTCCTACTTTACGTAAACTTTCTTTGACTCAGCCGACACACATGTCGGTATCGATGCTACTCTGTATAAACGTGTCGGTATCGGTGTTTAAAACTATTTGTTTAAAAAAAATACCCTGGAAAATATGACTACAGGAAACAAGAGATACAATACAATTCAGTATAAACTAGGAGTGTTTAAACTACGCCAAACTGCATGGAAACAGAGCAGCAGCAAGGCATTTTGGTCCACCACCTACTAAAAAAATGATACGTACTTGCCGACTGGAGGAAGATCAACTAAAAACTGCTAAAAAACATAACCTTCGATGCCCAGCTCCATCTTGGCCTGAACTTGAAAATGCCTTAAAAATGTGGGTGTTAGATAAGAGAAATCTGGTATAAGTGTTTCAACCCAAATGATAATCAACAAGGCCAAAGGATTTGCAGAAAAACATGGGAATCAGAACTTTTCAGGGTCTGATGGCTGGTGCTACAGGTTCATGAAAAGGCAAGGCTTATCAATGCGCACTAAAACAACTATTGCACAGAAAATGCCAGCAGATTATGAAGAAAAAATACAGTCAAAAGTCGTTAATCCGGACTCGTCGGGACTTCGGCGATTCCGGATTATCGATTTTTCGGATTATAGATCATCAGTTTAAATCTTGTAAGATGGCATGCAGAAATTCTAAAATTAAAAATATGAAACCGTAATTTATGAAATAAAGAACAATTATGATCTAAAGGGTATCAAAATTTGCAAAAAGAAAAAGCTTAATATTTATTTGTTTACTTTATTAAACATTTCTTTCAATGTAAGTTGTTTAAGTTTTGCTTCGTTTCATGTGATAATACTTTTCTTCTCTTTATTCTATTAAACAGACATAATTTCTTGTTCAGTTACAAAGTTCCGCCGTTCAAGTCCTATAATTGCTGTGTCAAGAACACCGACTAATTTGTCAATCGAAATTTTTTTTGTTTTCAATAACCCTCTGTCACGTTTCTTCGCTATCGAAGCGAATTATAATGACGAGGAACTTGTTTTAAATCATATCAAAGACGGAGCATATCGAGATGAAATACTACATTTGGTAAGGAATTATAAGCCAAATAAAATAAAAACATCTGCGCTGAAGATAAGGATAGTGCTGACAAATCAACTTCCAATTCATTACGCGCCCGCCGCCGAGCAGCGTGAAATTGATAAACAGATTTCGGATTTCAAAACATACTTTCGCTTTAGATCCTTTACATATTAACAAATATATATCGGAAATTCTATTTGATATAATCGAAAGTTTAAGCTTACCTTTATAAAATTGCTCTTACAGTCTGCAAAAAATAATAACCGGATGCCAATTCGAAAATTAAGGAACAACGTAATCATCAACATTAACTGAAATAGATAATTAGATAATTTTAGCTTATACGTCCATTATACATAAAATGCGCACGCAAAAATGTATTCTCTGCACTTGCGCACACTCATATGCGCGCGCAGTCGTAAAAGGTCTTACGCGCACGCGTAAACGCTTATGCGCATGTGTTCAACGCGGCGCATGCGCAGAAAGTTTTTAGTTTTGAGGGTCCGGATTATAGATCATTCCGAATTATGGGTGTCCGAATTAACGACTTTTGACTGTACTAACATTTCATAGGTTTGTTATAAATGCAAGTAAGAAAACTTCTTTTGAGCTCGGTCAAATAGGAAATATGGATGAAAGAGAAAGAAACCACATTTTAAGTTATTGTGCTTGTGTGGACTATTGAAACATTTTTTCCTTGTGTGTGGCCTTCTAAATAAGGGTGCGTCTTATATGCCGTCAAACATGGTATTTATAATTTTTTTCTTGGAATGAAATTATATCACAAGAATTGTCACGTGCATTTAGAAACTTTTACTTGTTTAGCAACATATGTTAATAGTTCCATAACTGAAGTGTACATAGGAAGGTGCTACAAATTTACTGCTAATTCAAGAAATTTAATTATTCAACTTTTTAAAGATGGTAAAAGCATCCAAAAAACCATTGATGTAAATCATTGAAGTATCTTTGATGCATTAATATGATGGAAATTGCATGGAACTGTTGAAAATTACACTGAAAAGTGCAACAGTGGACCACATTCCATACTAATACCAAGGAATCACATATTTATTTAAAAAAAAAAAAAATCAAACAAGATTCATAACTTAACACTGCAAAACATTCGGCAGATTTAGAAGAATGGTTTGAAATAAAAATTTACCCTGTAGCTTTTAGAAGAGTCTTTAAGGGCACATGTATGCCATGGGTGATTGGCATGAAGGAAATTCTTCGTCAACAGGAAAGCCAGGAAAACACACTTGGCATTTGCAAAATGTATAGTTAGCAAAGTTTTATTGTATGAGAACAATTCATATTTTCAGAAGTCAACATTTAATATAAGGTCCGATAGAAGGATTAACAGGTGACGAAATCCAAATTAAGATTTGAATTTGAGAAACCTATTGCATAATATTGCCCACAGGCATAAATGTTTGCTGCTTTAGAATGGGGAAATTTAGTATTTATTAAAATATATATATAAATATTCTCAATGAAAACATCTCCAAAATACATTCAATGTATCTATGGATCCAAACTTGGAATCCAAAATACATTCAAAGTATCTATGGATCCTAAACATAAAGCTCTAAATCTTTGCTTGTGGCTACAAGCGAACATTTAGAGCACTATGCAACTCTCTTGAAGTTATC